AAAAATAAATTTTCTTAAAAAAAATATTGTTTACCATGAAGTCCTATAAAATTAAATTAAATTAAAGAAATTATTAAACCGCGATGTAGAGTTTTTATCAAAATATTTTTCCAAACAAATCAGCTTATTCAAATTTCATCGATTGGTTTGCGAAATTGAGTGAAACGTAGAGTTTGTAAATGTCGAGAAAAATCTTAGCTAGAACTTCAACAATGTTAAATACTGTGAGAATTTCAACCCGCGCCAGCATGTTACAAAAATTCTAGTGTTATGGCCTAGAGAATAAAACATATGTACTCATCGACAGAATATCAAAAGAGGGAACGCTGATAATAGAGAAAGAAACAATACTTCAAAAATGGAGCGAATACAACGGAGACTTTTCTACGGCGAAAAAAAAAAAGAAAAGTTGCAATGCACAAACATAGGGGGACCAGAAATATTGAAGTACGAAGGGAAATCAGCACTGGCCAAATGGATTAAAGCAGAAGGACCAGATTGGATTTTAATAGAGATACAAGCAGCTCTAGATGACGGCATTGATAAAATTACAAAAATAATAGATTAAATATACGATAAGGGTGATATACCGGAAGACCGAATAGATCCATTTATGTAGCGCTGTCTAAGAAGCCGGGCTCAAACTAATGTGAACTCCACCGGACAACCTGTTTAACGAGCTACATAACAAATTCTGAATTCTGATAAATAGAGTGCGTAGCAGAATTAGACCGGAAACAGGACATGAGCAATACGGTTTCCTTAAAGACACTGGAACGAGGAATGCAATATTTATGCTCAGAATGAACTCAGAAAGAGCAATAAAAATACAGAAAGATGTATACTTGTTTTATAGATTATGCAAGGATGTCGGGTAAAGTACGACACAACGAATTATTTGAACTTATATATATGCTTGATTTATTTGGGAAATATATTAGAATAACCAGAACGTATAATCGAAGAAAGCAGCCTGCATATGGACAGAAAATTATTTCAGTAAATATATAAAAATAGAAAGGGGCGTAAGACAAGCATGCGTCTTTTTAACGGAAGTATTCAACCTTAACAGTTAGGCGATCCTGAGACAATTAGAAGTCCTCCCAGGTTTCACTACTGGCGGCTTCAATTTTAAAAATATAAAACATACTGTTGACACAGTGTTGATAGCAAACACAGAAAGGAAACTACGGGAACTCCGAGGAAAGTTAGTGAGAAGAAAGGACCAAACATCATTTTTAAGAAGACAGAATGTATGGTTGTCAACAAAAGGGACAGCCCAACACGCGAACAACGAATTAAATACGCCCAAATCAAGCAAGAAAATTTAATTATCTAGGTAGTTTTTTAACAGAGGACGGAAAATGGGCACATAATCAGGAAAGAAAGCTTGAAGAATTTGATACTAACAGTTCCTATTGAAGGCAAGAGCGTGCAAATCTTCAATCTCTTCTCTCTTCAATCAAGATATGGTAGATTGCTTTACCCGGAAGTTTTCTTCCAATTCCACTCGACTCGACTCGACTCATCTGGAGTACCTCTGCCAGATGTTCCCCCTATAAACGGAGGCACTACTGACTGATATGCGTATAACCCCGTTACTGCTTTCTGGCATCATTTCTAAGTTAGATCTCCGCAAGGCAAGTGGATGCGTGACGGGGTACCTGTCGGCGTCCTAAAGAAATGTGCGCCTGAGCTGACTCCTGTTATCTCCAAACTTTACAATAAATACTTCACTGCTCCCAGTTGTCCAGCTTGTTCGAAGTCTTCTGTAGTTCCTGTTTTTAAGAAATCTGGAGAATACTCTGACCCCTCAAATTACCGCCGTATTAGTCTCTTGCCTCATTTTGGCAAAGTACTCGATGCTCTAATCAATGCTGAATTACTTCGCACGACCTCCTTTCGGAAAAACAATATGGCTTCCGTTTCGCCAGGTCTATCTCCGATACGTTAACGACCATCACTGAATTTTTCTCTCAAACTCTAGATAACAATGGCGAAGCTCGGGCTATGACTGTAGAAATCTCGAAAGTGTACAACAGGGTTTGGCATGCCGGACTTCTACGCGTGCTCAAGGGCTACGGTGTCACAGGACGAATAATTATATTAATGCAATCGTTCATAACAAATCGTGTAATAAATATCGTGTTGAAAGGGCTCGCTTCTAGATCTTTTCATACTAATGCGAGTGTCCCCATAGCTCTATCCTGGAACCTACAATTATTCTGATCTTCATCAATGGCTTCCTCGATGTCATTAGTTCCCAACTAGGTATTAATGTAGGCGACACAACCATTTACTTCTGGCATCTCCAACAGATTTGATACAGCAAACTTGGCAACTGCTCTGGAATAGACCTACAATCAGTGGAGCAAGAAATGGCTTGTAAATTTTTACACCTCCAAAACAAAACTGCTCTCATTTAAACACCACAGAAAAGCTTTTCTGCCTGCCATCAAGATGGCTAATGCTAAACACCAGGGGAGCAACACACTCCGCCTTCTTGGCCTCGCCTTTTCTATTGACATGAAGTGGAGCGACTATATTGAATCAATTGCTTCTTCTAGCGCAGGGAAAATTTACATGGCAACTACCTCGATGAGCTTTTTACCCTGGTGGTCCGATTAGATTAATTTAAACATGCTACTAGATTCGAAACTAGATTCCACCTTTTTACTGCTGAAATATCTAGATGCAACTGCCACTTCTACTCTAAGAGTTTCTTTTCTCGCACTTCCCACCTGTGAAACTCTCTTCCGGTTTCTTGCTTTCCTGTTAAATACAATCTTCAAAAATTTAAATGCAGCGTCAATAAACATCTTCTGTCTTCTTGAACCGTGTTCCTTTTTTGTCCTTTCCTCAAACTTCGGTATTCTCCGCGTTTTGGAGTAGCTGAACACCCCTAGACGATGGACTGGTTTAAGACTATTTAAACAGGACTCTCCCTTACTGAGGGAGAGCAGTTAACGATTACAGTTAACTCTGCTTGTCGACTCTCTGCCTCCGGGCGAAGAGGAACCCAGACGAGGCTATGCCGAAGGGCAGAACCTCGTCTGGAGAGGAAGACAGCTACCCGACCCCATGTATAAGGGGTTTTCCGGGTAAATTTGCCCGAGCCTACGGGCTCGGAAAGCCCCACGTAAAAAACAGCCTTGTGGCACATCCCATCTTGTGAGAAGGTCTCAAGCAAATTCCAAGGAGTTAATGATTAACACTTGTCGACTTCTCTGCCTTCAGGCAGAGAGGAACTCAGACGAGGCTATGCCAAAGGGTAGGGTCTCGTCTGGGGAGGAAGAAAGTAACCCGACCCCGCGTATGTGGGATTCTACGGGTTCTGAACGACCTTGTGCCACATCCCACCTTTTGGGAATGTCTCGGGATATACCGAGGAGTTAACGATTAATTGTTTATTACATTAGTCTGTGTTCTCAACCGTGTACCATATTATTCTCCGGGATAAATTAATCTTTATATGTGTGTCAACTTTTTTCTATTTAGGACACAACACTCCGTCTCCTCATTCACTTTCACTTCCTGTAGCCCCGTGCTTTCTAGTGGCATTACCGCCTTACTTCGGGTGAAATGCTAAAAAAAAAGACGGAAAAAGAATAGCAACTTGTGTAAATGGTTAGCAAAATAGGAACAACGAAATATAGCAAAAAGAGAAACCTTACTAAGAGCTACAAAGAGAAGGAAGTAGTAGAGAGAAATGATCGCCTGCGTAACAGACGAGGCAAGAATTTGAACTCGGTTCGTCGATTCCACATTTTCACCTGAGAGTTATTTAAAGCCGAAATATGTATAATTCTATTTTTTGCGAGAGAATATTGAATTAACAATTTTTTGGTAATTACAGTGATTTTCCTAGGTACACGTCCTGCTATTTAACCCATAGCTAGGAGGTAGGAGATGGATTCGTAATTTCCCAAGGATAAGTGAATCAACAAGCCTAACTGGAATTCGAACTTGGCTCTACGATTTCACATTCCGTGCCGATATTAGTTACACCTCAGCACATCCACCTTTCGCACCGATAGCAGGTTGCGCTACCAGTACAGCCGTTTAAAAATCATGTACAGAACGATTAAATACCCATAATGAAATATGCTGCTGACATAAAAAGGAAACAGACTGATGGCAAGGGATGCGAACATAGTAATAATAACCGTGACAACGCAAAAACATGCTGAGGATGATGTATATAGACATCGAAATCTTAGCGAAATTAATCATATCGATGTAACGTTGAAACTGAAAAAGTTATTCTCTTTAGGAGTTAAGGTCAGTGTATGCCGTGGACGAGCGGGCGAGAGAGATGGCGAGAGAGATAGCAAGAAATAAGTATATGATGCAGCCATCTCTTTTGCTGGATCGATCGAACTTATTTTGCAAATCCCGATAATTCATAATCGGTTTCGATGCAATAGACACGGACAAAACCATCTTTTTTTCAACACAAATAGAGTTCTAGGAACACTTCCAAATTGCACGGATCATCGTAACTGGTTTGTTCGTTATCGCCTGGATGAGATAAGGTGGGAGCAGGAGCAGAAGGAATGGAGGGGCGCAAAATAGCAATTTCCTGACCCACAAAAGGTGAATAAGGATAAGTCAATGAATGAATGAGCAAACGAAGGAAATAGAAGGAGCAAAAACAGAGAATGAAATCTGGTATATAGCAATTGATAAAATTCAAAAAATAACGAAAAGAAAAAAAAATAAAGAAATTCTGTTGTCGTTGTCGGTGGGTGGTCAAATTACCACGCGCCGACTGTGACGAAATATAGACATTAAATATCTCTATGGGGGTGAGATTGTGTTTATAGGCCTGTACAGAATGAGCAGATGCGCTGTTTGGGTTTTTGGGAGGTGGGTGACAACCCTATTGATGCAAGGTTGTGCCGTTGGTGGCGATGTTTAATTATATGAGGAATTCCAATCGAATGAAACAGGACCTGATCGGCTAGCTTACGCCATCTAAATCTATTACTTATTAATTTATGGACTGGAAAGCTTACATTCTCTCTCTCTCTCTCTCTCTCTCTCTCTCTCTCTCTCTCTCTCTCTTCTCCTCCCTATATATTTCTCTGTGTGTACGCTACATATTTATATATGTATGTATACACACTTGAATATATATCTATACAGCTTTAAGTACATGGATAAATATGTTCACTCATATTCTTGAAAATGTGTACGGACAAATTTGCACCCTTATATATATATATATATATATATATATATATATATATGATATATGATATATATATATGATATATGATATATATATGTATATCATATATATATATATATATCATATATATATATATCATATATATATATCATATAAATATATATATATATATATATATATATATATATATATATATATGATATATATATATATATGATATATATGTATATATATATGATATATATATATGATATATATATATAATATATATATGATATATGATATATATATATATATATATATATATATATATATATCAGGTGCTGAAAAGTTGTCGTCCCATCGCACCTTCCAAAATAGAACCAAAGATCATTTTGATCAGCGCTCTAATACAGACGAACAATCTCTCTCAGACACACATAAATACATACATATATACATACATACATACATACATACACGCATATCTATACACAGAAAGAAATGAAAATGGAGAGATATTAATGTAAATCTTTTCCTAACTTACATGCTTGCGTGCATTTCTATATTTTTATCTGTCTCTGTCTCTGTGTGTCTTTGTCTCTCTCTCTCTCTATATATATATATACATATGCATACACACCCAAAACACATATATATATATATATATATATATATATATATATATATATATATATATATATATATATATATATATTGAAAAACAGCCAGAGGCGATAATCTGTTTCATGCTAAACACATGGCCTGACGATTCCGTTTACCATGATACTGACTGTCGCCTCTGGGTGTTGACTTCAATGCCAACTTTTATATTGACATATGCTGATGTTGAGCAATTTAACACATAAATATAGCTTAGCTTAAAATTACATTTTATCAACTAGGTATACAGTAATGAAAATATGTGCGCACAACACAGATTGTATTGATTATACAAATATACCCATAACGTACCAATAACTGTATACATGTATTTTGCATAGCCTTATATATATATATATATATATATATATATATATACAAGTGATTACTCCTCATTAGCTTCTAAAATCTGATCTCAGTGCTATTACTATCTTACCACAAATTAAGTAATTTCTTTGAAGCTGTGTTTGATTACATTTATATTCCAGTTAACTTGTGCACTTGCAGTTTTTATTTAATTATTTAAAGTATCCAGTATTTGAATTCCTGTTCCCCCCTCTCTCTCTCTCTTTCCATATATTGTCACTTAAAGCTGTTTCTCTTAATCTATTTTTACTTTAATGTAAGTGTTGGTTAAAAAATAACACCTGTTCTTCTTTAATTACAGTTGATTTAATAGAAGCATACAAAGTATACCAAAATGAACATTACAGTTTCTGAATTCCAAATATAGTTTTCAACATAGTCTCCTTCCTCAATCATGAATGAAAGCATGTATACTATAGTTTTCATTTTTTAGCCATGTGCAGTTCATCATTGAAGAACCGCTGTTCATGGGCCCAAATAGATGAAAGTTTGAAGAGGGCCAGTTTAGGACTGTAGATGATAGATGAGGCAACATTGTCCAACCATGTGTTATGATTGTCTAGTCTTTAAGCTACTCTGAGGCATTACATTTTTATGTTTTGAAAAGTCTATTACTCATCTTCACATGTGATTTAGTTCAAAGAAGCCATGTTCAGAGTTTTGATTTTTTGTGTTGGGTAGATAGTGGTGCTGTTTGATGAACTCACGTAATTTATTATAACTAACTGTGATATTCGACAAAGGTTCATTAAAATCATTGAGTATTATCATTCATATATATATATATATATATATATATATATATATATATATATTTTTAATGAACCCTAGTTGAATATCACAGTTAGTTGTGTGCCATGCGTGGTACACGCTTAGGCGATCATCTATCTTTCGATACATGACTGTTATTTTATATATATATATATATATATACATTTATAATACTTTGCTTTCTTTTTTAATTATTTTGCAGCTGTAGTCGGTGTATTGTGCTTTACTTGCATTTCATCACCCATTTTAGACTCCATTTTTAAACTCCATTTTGAAATTTTTACTTCCTTTATCACTGAATAAAGTTTCATACTTTTTTCATATTCTTTGACACATATCATCATCCAGTATTCTGTAGTTTCCATGTATCTTTGAAGGCTGATTGTTGTAGTTTTGTAAGACAGTTCTAGTTGAACTAATCCTCTGCCTCCTTCGGATCTGAGCACAGACGATCAACATCAGACTTTCGGATTATGCATGGAGTCGCAATTGAGAAACTTTCTCGTTTTGACGTCTATTTGCTTAATGTCAGCTAATGGTTCAGTTAAGGATGTTGAAACTGCATTGCACCACAGAGACAGCCAAAGTGTTTATGGCTGATATTCTGTTTTTTGAATTCAGCTCGGTATTTAGTACCAGATGCACACGCCTGTGATACTCATTTCTTACCTTCTCCTTCATTTGGATATACTGTATTCCATCTCTTTCGCTAATTCCAAGGTACCTATATGCTTTTTCTTCTTCCAGTTCCCTAATCTTTGAGACAAAATCTAGATCTGTTCAGCGTGTTTCTCCCTTTCTTAAATTTATCTAATCCGAAATCCATATCTATGTCGTCTCTGAAATATTTTACATTATGAAGGAGACCATTCAACTCATTGTCTTCTTGGGCAAATAGTTTGAGATCATCTATGTAGAGTAGGTGATTGAATACATTCTTATTTAGTTTGTATCCATAGCTATTATTGTTTAAATCATGCGTAGGGGGTGGGATTAAAGATAAACAAAACTGACGGAGAGACAGGGAGTCTCCTTGAGACTTTGTACATTTTCAAAATCTTAAGAACTTCTATCAATCTATATCACCTTTGCTTAATTATATGTGAAATTAGATTAGATTAGTTTTTTTTTAATAATATTGCCCTATGCAAGGCAGTAAAGCCACTAAGACACAAGGGATTACGGAGTGTGAAAGAATAAGAAAAAAGGAGAAACATTATTAAGCAGCGAGGATAATAGAAGACTAATCAAGAGGACAGTAAACTTTTCATTTAAATTTTTGAAGATCAAAATTGTCTGGAAAGCATAGAGCTGGAAGAGAGTTCCACGAGCGAGAAGTGCGAGAAAAGAAACTGTTAGCATATAATTTACGGCTACATCTAGCCAATTCAACTGTGAATTAATGAGACCTTGCCGCCAATTGTATTGTAAGTATAATTTGTTCTAATTTTCATTAAGGCTTCCTAATTGTTCCCATGTTTTATCCATGGTATTCTTAAAAATACAATATCACTGTAGTACAATATCACTGTCGGTTCAACTCACTTCTTCATCTGTGAAGAGATTGTCTGACATTTCCTGCGATATAGGAAATTAGATATTACATACCAGTTAAGCACTCTTTTCTTTGTTTCTAACAACATTTTGCTGTCTTAATTTTCCGTCGACTGTTACACTGCACAGGCCGTTGAATTTCTCTACCTACTTGATTCTGAATTCGTAGTTTAATATTTATATAACTTCTAAATATCACTCTTAGCAAAAGAAATAAATGAAATACTTTTAATATGTTAGTGTGAACTCTTGTCTGTAATGTTTTGGTCGTTATAACTCTTGATGTTGGAGTAAGTCAGAATGAACAAAGCCTGACTGGTAGAAAGCTCGAATTTCGAAACAAGCTTTTAATTGTAATTTTGACTAGTTTTTCATTTCGTTTCTGTTGTTATTGTTTTTTTATCATTGTTAAAAAATAGTCAACAATAAAGATTAAATAAAATCTAATCAAAGATTCATACTGATAAATATTCATTTAATAAACTCGAACAACTTTTAATATGTTAAATGCTTCAAGGATTTATAATTTGGTAGTCATGTTTTACAAATATTGAAAAATATTGTTATTTTGAATCATTGTGATTTTCTTCTCTCTCTCTCTCTCTCTCTCTCTCTCTCTCTCTCTCTCTGTGTTTCTCTCCTTTGTTTGTCTTATTTTTTGACAAGCGTTTTCCTTCTGACGTCATTATAGAATAAGAGATCTTTTCTTTCTTCTTTATTTCCTTCCGTCTTTCTTTCCCTCTTTCTCTCATTCTTTATTTTATACTGCGTTGCTTCTCTCCATGACTTTATTTTCTTACCCACTTCTTACTTCTCTCACTTCGCTCTCTCTCTTTCTCCTTAATTCTTTATATTGCCTCTCTCTCTCTCTCTCTGTTTCTCTCTCTCTCTCTCTCTCTCTTGCATTTTTATCCTATTTTCTTCTTTCGTTTTTTCGCTTTTCTCTTTTTCTTTCTATCTCCTTTTCTTTCTCTTCTATTCCTTTATTTTTTTTCATATTTCCTTCTTTCTCTCTCTCTTTTTACTCTCTCTCTCCTTCCTATCTATCTATCTATCTATCTTCTCATATATTTCCTTCTTCATCTCACTCTTTATCCCACTCTCTCTACTTCCTGTCTCCCTTCGTTTTCTTTCTTTCCCAGCATCCTTTGCTCCGTACCAAACGCCTCCATCTCTGAAGTTTCTTCAAAAAGGAAAAACGATGAAATTGGAGAAAACAAGAATCAACTGCGCCACGGGAAAAAAAAAGTGTTTTGCTTAATTACAGAATAGAAATAACATGCCTTTTGCCAGGTTTAGGTTCGCACAGAACAACAAGAGCTTTTTTTCAGTTTTATCCGCTGTAAATGTGCACCTCATTATGATCATACCACATTTGTATGGAGATAGATAGATAGATAGAGAGATAGATAGATAGATAGATAGATAGATAGATAGATAGAAACAGACATTTGTGTATGGATCATCACTTCTGTTTGGGATGAGAGAATCTGTGCGCGGTGTCTAGGATCAAACTATTGTGCCTCAACCGTTTTTCTATGCCAGGAGTGGCCAAACCGCGGCTCGTGAGCAACATGTAGTTCTTTGAACATGGCTGACTTAAGATCCTTTATTCGTCACAGTTAATATAAAAGGTAAATAAGAGTTTCAGGCCTTATAATTACTGGGTATGAACTGAGACTCCATTAGATTAAAACGTAAATTTAATGTTCATGTTTAGTAAAAAATATTTAAGAATTTAAATCCTAATTTTAATGCTAGATACGAGTGAGGCATCGTTCTTTAGTGTTGAGGGAAGGAATGGTGGGAAGCAGAGGGATTAAAGAAATTTCGGGTCAGCAAGGGTTACAAAGGAATATCAGAAGACTGAGGTCATGGGCAAAGGGGATTAAGGGGGGGCGCACTTACATCATGTACATTTATGCAGTATAACACAAGACGTTGGACCGCGCAGACCTATTTGGTACACTTCGGATGCAACTTTTGTTTAAAAGTCCTGTGACAATTTTGTGAAGGAAGATGGCCTCCTTAAATTGTAAGAAACGAAGATATGAAAATGAAAACAAAAATTTTAAGCCAGAGTGGAAGGAAGATTTTGCATTCGTCGTTAAAGGAGGTAAACCTTTGTGTTTTATCTGCCATGTGACAGGGTAATAACAGAGTGACTCTGTTATTACTAAGCCACTAACTGGAAACGCCACTATGATACAAATCATAAAAACTTTTCGTATGATTATCCACCTGAATTACACTTAAGGAAAAACAAGTTAAAGTGTCACTAAATAACCAGCGGACACTGTTGACAACGTTCAGTAAGAAACCCGATACAACGATTGAAGCCAGTTTTGTTATGTCATTGAATATTGCTTGTGCTAAACGGTATGTTCAGATTGCGGATTTGTTTAAGATGAATATAGCTGAAGTTGTTGCCGTGTTAAATCCAAATAGCAGAAAACCTCAGCAATTAATAGCACAAACAGCAGCTTCATACCACACTAGAGAGAGTCGTATCTCTCAAATCAGTTCTGATGCAGACAAAATGCAAAATGTTTTTTTTTAATTCTCTTTCATTCCGCTTAGTTCTTGATGAATCAACAGACAAGACGTACCACAACTGGGAGTATTTGTTCGTTATGTTTCCTCTGATGCAACTGTGAAAGAAGAGACGTTGGACTTAGTGGCATTAAAATAGAAACAACTCGTTGTGTTGACATTAAAAATGCGCTTGACAGAACTTGAACAAATACTGATGTTCCACTGAATAAACTCGTCAGTTGGAGCACCTGCAATGGTGGAAAAATGTAGGATTAATTGCACTTACGAAAAATGATCCCAGCTTTCCAGATTTTCTTCCTGTTCATTGCATTGTTCATCGTGAACACCTGGCAGCCAGATATTTCAAGTATGAAGATGTTATGAAATTGTCCTTGAAATTGTCATACGCTTGAATGGGAAGACTCACCGACAATTCAAAAATTTTATTTAAGAACTGAAGCGCAAAGATAAACCCATTGATGTCTCTTTCTACTGCATTGTGAGGTGGCTGCTAACCAGCAATGTCTTGAGTAGAATTGTGGGTCTGTTGAAGCCTGTTATTATTTTTCTTAAAGAACAGATCCTATCTTCAACTTGGAAATGATGAATGGATGCAAGATCCGATATTCCTTAGTGATATAAAAAATCATCTAAAAACTCTTAATATGGCACTCCAGGAGAAGAATAAGATTGTTTTTGATCTTACTCGGACAATTTTCAACTTTCAAAATAAAATAAGCGCTTTTCAAAGAGACATATTGTCAAGAAACTTCAGTCAGTTTCTCAATCTCCGTAGAAAAGTAAATGCATTCCTTGATATTGAAATAAAAGACCACAAACTGGAAAAATACAAAGATAAATGACAAGGACTGCTTGATAATTTCCTAGCCAGGTTTGATGACTAGCGGAAACTGAAGTCCTGCTTTGCCTTTCTTATAAATCCATTTATGGTTAATGTGGTCAATGATGGATGTCCAATTCTCGAACCTCTGGTTACGGAATCATCTGCTGTGGAAATGGAACTAATGGAATTACAGGATGAACTAGATCTAAAAATGACCCATAAACCCCAGTCTACAAGTGAGTTCTGGAAACAAGTTCCAGAAATAAAATATCCCGAATTTAAGAAAACTAGTGTTCTTACTCATCTCAATTTTCAGCACAACATACTGCTGTGAATCACTGTACTCTATAATGAACTTTGAAGTCGAAGCATCGTGCAGTCCCAGACACCTAACGGAGCTAATTCGTAGTCATAACATCATATCAACCAAGTTTTCAACAACTTACACCCAAGATGGAGACCCACAATACCGCTAGTAGCAGTAAATAGCGGCTTTAATAGCCTAATATTTGTAGCATTGTCTGTTTGTCATAAAAAAATATTATGATAGGACAGTAATTTTGTAAGGTGGTATCTGATTAAATTATCTCTAATTTTATTAGTTTCCTTTTTTTTACTTATTTTCCTCCATGTTTTGACCAGATGTTTACTAAGACAAATAAATATCATTAAAAATATAATTATTTCCCTTTTTAATGTTATTTGTGGCAGTCTAATTTTATGTTACTTAAATGCAAATTCGCACAATTTTCTTAGATATTTCCGTAGTTCATTACCGTAATAAATACGCTCAGTATCGTTAAAACAGTCATCAGTCAAGATTTTGAAAACTTTTGGTATATAAATGTGTACTTTGTGATTACTGAAATCAATACAAATTAACAGTTTTAAAAACTGCATGTATGAATAAATATTATTGCATACATGCATTTCTTAATATTTATATAAAACCTTTGTAACAAAATATGTATGTAACAAAAACGTATGTGTAAATTTTGTTCCTGTCTTGCGGCTCTCAAATATCTGAACTTCATAGTTTGTGGCTCTTAAATTGAGCAAGTTTGGCCACCCTTGTTCTATACCATTTCACTATCAACATTAGAAAAGCGCCAATCAAAATTGAATAGTACCGATACAAATGGAATAATACCAATCAAAATAAAATAAAATATTTGTTTTAATTGAACTGAATTAACAATAGATTTTTGTTCAGGGTGGGTAAATGAACGGAGCGGCTTTTCTAAGTTTTGAAGCGTCACTGAAGGAGCCATATTTGATTCGTCGTCAACCTCAGATTAAGCTACTTAATTACTCTTAGCAATTCTATCATCGTGCTCCAGGTTTTTATTTTCGATCTTTTGTGAGATTCCTTTTCCCCTCGTATTTTTTTTCTTTATCTTTCAAAGGTTTTTTTTTTATTTCTCTACGAATTATTTTTCTCTGTATCCCTCTCTCATTGAGTTTTTCATTTGTTCCGGTTGGAAAATTTTGAAAAATCCACTACATATCTCATATAAGCGTTGTTTAATGAACTGCATTACCGTCTGCGATACTCTGACCAAACTCAACAAAACCGACCCATTCTTGAAAAGAACGATAACTGTTGAGGAAAAATGAGTTTTATCATAATTTGGAACAAAAAAGGTTCTTGGAAAACGAAATGAAGTCACCGTTAAGCACTCCAAATGCTGGTCTCCAAAGGATGTGGCACTATGCATTTTGTGTGATTGGAAGGACATTGTGTATTTCCTTCCATACAATCAGACAGTGAATTCAGTCAAGTACTCTTCCCAAATGGATCGATTAAAAGCTGCAATCGATGAAAATCGTCCTGAATTAACCAATCGGAAAGCTGTTATCTTGCAACGCCAGATCTCACATCTCTTTGCAGATCCGGTAGAAACTGGTACGGTTTGGCTGGAATATCACTTTACACCCACCATACTCACCTGACCTGCTACCTACGGATTACCACATTTCGATTCCTTACAAAATTCTCTTAATGAGAACTTCCCTTGTCTGGAGAACTGTAAACCAGTTCTTCACCCATAAATAAGCTCAGTTCCGAGAGGATAGAAGACTGAATCTGCTTCAAAGATAGTGAAACAAAATGGCGCATATGTAGTTGTACAAATATGTAAAAATTATCTTTGAAATTCACTTTAAAAAAACTTCGAATTTTTGTACCGACACAATAATTTAGAATAATTCAAATAATAAGTATATAAATAATCAAATAATTGAAATTAAAATAAACAAATTAAAATTAAGTAAATAGTATTAAATAAAAAAAAATCAATGTTGGGACTATAAATAATGCAATAATTTTAACCTAAAGCAAAGAAAAAAATTACATGTCAGTTAAAAAATTAATGAGTGTAAACGGATAGATAAGTGAACAGTGCATTTATTTATTTATTTATTTTATTTATTATTACGGATGTAAAATAGATATCAAGTAAGTACAATGCGGAGGTGCTCTTTAGTAAATGGGTCATTAACTACTAGAATATATTTTGACTTTTGTTCACCTTACTGCAGTAAGTTGAATAGATAGATAGATAGATAGATAGATAGATAGATAGATAGATAGTGTCGTCAGTTGAAAAGGAAGGAAGGAAGGAAGGAAGGAAGGAAGGAAGGAAGGAAGGAAAACTATTAAACTAAACATATAGAAAGATAAACGTTATGGTAAGGGGAAAAGATAGATAGATAGATAGATAGATAGATAGATAGATAGATAGATAGATAGATGGTACCGTAATGAGAATAGAAAGAAGTAGAGATGTGTCAAAGACA